TCATGATTTAATTTTCTTCCTGGTCAGGGAATTAATGTTCTTGTGAATGTGATCCTAAACTACTTTAAAAGTCAAAGCTAAACTTCGCTCATATTCAGGTATAGCTCAGCATGAATTCATTTTGTTCCATTCACTCCTGACCTTTATTATCTGCTGTATCATTTTCTAGTATCGCTGACAGGTGGACTTTTATTGTACTAATAAGGTGCCACAGATTCTGAACATATAAGCCCCTTAAAAGCTTTATGTCTTCTTTATCAAAACTATTTAGTATAACATAGGTTGCCTAAGTTATGTTATCAGTTATAATCCAGAATCAGACCAGATTTAACTTTCCGGTACCACTAATATGTGAGACACCATAGCCAACAGGATTTAAATAGCAGTGCAGGTGAAATGGTGTTAGGGATTATAGCACAGAAAAAGCGTAAGTGTGTTTGCTGCAAATAAAAGACAACTTTCACACAGCTGAGTATATATCCTGATGGAATAAAATTGATTTTCACCTCGATATATATTTGCATGCAGATACCTACAAATGGCAAGAAAACTGATGTTTGCCTTCCAAAATTTATAGCATATAGAAAATTACTTTTTATAACAATTTAGATACCACAAAAAAAATCCATTTTAAATTTATGTGTGAATACATATATCTGACATACGTATAACTTGTTGAAACAAAGCTCATGTTCCTCTGCCAATTTAGAAGAAAAATCAGTTTAAAATCAGTAAGACGATTTGGGAAGTAATTTGGGAAGAGAATATGCCCCATTAAGGAATTTAGTAGTATTGTATTTTATCATAATGTTTTAAAATATTGTTTCTTGGGTTTTGGTGAAGATAAATTAAAGGTTTTGCAAGATGTGTAGTTATTGGGAAATTGACCTTTGCAATGCATTATAATGAATGTTTCTATGCATGCTTGTTACAGCATGTTAGCACTGTTAATGAGTATTAAAAAAGTTTATTTCATAATAGCATTCTTATTTCACTGCCTGCATACCACAGAAATACACAATCAAGATTGGAATATATTTGATATATTGATATAACCTCTTTCAACTGGGAATGCTACTCAAGGAATCTTGAATCTGAAACAATACACTGAGGAAATAATTGAAGTATTCACATGGAACTTCACTAAAATGTTTATTTTAAGTGTGGGAAATCCACCATTAAGAAATGACTTATAGTTTACTCTGAAGGATTTTTAAAGCGCTAAGGAATCACCTGTGACTGTGATAATGATCTCTAGTTTATGATACAGTTAGTTTGATCCAGTTTAGACTAGAGAGTAAGGTAGCTGGCTAGAAAATGGGAGACTGGGAGTTCTAGTCCTTCCTTAACCATGAAAGCCAGTTGGGTGACCTTGGATCTGTCACTCTGTCTCAGCCCAACTCACCTCACGGGGTTGTTGTGGTGGGGAAAACAGGAGGAAAAAAGTGTGTTAGATATGTTAGCTGCCTTGAGTTATTTTTAAAAACAGTAAAGGAGGGATACAAATAAATAACATAAATAAATGTCCTTTCAGAATGGAGATACCAATTTATTGAAGTTATGATGGGAACAAAAATCTCACAGGTTATTCTTAAACTCACAGGCATATCTTAAGTTGTTTTCTATATCCTGTGTTTTTTGTATTGACATTATATGAATAAGCAATGATTTTTAGTGAAGACATTCACTCCATTATGTGTTAAAAACACAGAGCAAATATGACATGATTGCTTTGGAAAATACTAGGATCATATTGTAAAATGACCAAAACACATTGTTTAATGGTGTTCTGCTATTATGTGATTAAATATACAAATATTTTTTTTAACCAGACAACTTTGCAAACAAGCAACTTATTCTTCTATGTTTCAGAATAAGAGGCTAAAACTGAAGCTGATTGGCAGTGATATGAACTAGTTGGGAAGAGTCACTCCCAATAACAACATACTTCTAGCAATGGTTACAAATCACATTTCCCAGTATTGACAGATTTGCAAGATGCCCCTACTGCAAAGAAGATAGCTCAGTTCCGCACAAATTAGTAATAATTGCATGTTTTATCAGCCTGCAAAATAATTGGCTGCAAAGACCCTTGGAAACCTCCCATTTTGTACATAAAAAACGAGATTGCTAAAATAATTCTTTTCAAACCTCGCTATGAACTAATTTGCTTCATAACTCCCAGAGTTGGTTGCGCATAAACTCTTAATTATTGAGTAGCCTATACAGTTCCCACATATAATGACACATTTTGGGGCAGTTTCAAAATGCATTTAAAAATATTGACAGAAAACAGAAACACGTATTTTAAGAGAAAGTGCAATTTCAAATGTAGATTTAACTATAATGTAAATTTTATGGCAGGTAAAATAACTGCAGGTTGATGAAAAAACAGGGTAAGATATTATCAGTAAATACATGTGAAAGTGACCCAAACTAGAAATCCTAACCATTCCCAATTAGTACTTTCTACATATGATGAAGATCTAGACCCCATATTTTGTTCTTAGTATGGTTAGCAGGAGTTGCAATCCAGCACATCTGGAAGACACTTGGTTTGGAAAAGCTGACCTACCCAGATAGAGCAGCAATTCCTAGGGGTTGTAACCTCAATGGAAGTTATTCTCAACTGCCTCATTCAGGGCAGGATTAAGTTTTTGTAGGTTATAACTATCTATCTATCTATCTATCTATCTATCTATCTATCTATCTATCTATCTATCTATCTATCTATCTATCCTTTTAACTAACTTAATATATCCCAATCAGATTGGATTTTGGATACATAGGAACAGTATCAGATATTCTTTGAATGCTATTGATAATAATGAGGAAAACAAGAAAATGGTTATGATTTTTCTTGTTGTGGAAAATGTCTTTGATAATTTGGAATGGCTTTTATATTCACATTACTGAATATACTGATGAACTATATGGATTTTCATGCATAGGGCATGGCATTTAGGAAGAACAAGAAGCAAAATGGACTCCTTTTCTCCTTCCTTTTTCTTTCAGCTTTTGCAAGGAAGATATTACAAAAAAAATTTTTTTTCAAGAAACAAACTGGGAAAATAAGAACTAAATATTGTATGCAGGTGAAGTTGCACTTACAATTATTCATCCAAGGGATTTTTTAGAATTAATAAGTAATATGGTTTGGTATAAGGATATTGAATTAATGACTAAGAACAACACTGAAATGGAGTTTCCCTAAAGAAGAAAAGCAACATTTGCAGCAAATGAGATTCAATATTACTGTTAAATCAATTAAGTACTTGAGAATTTATTTAATAAACACAATGAATATTGTAAAAGTAAAATGACTTCCAGACTTAGAAAACTATAATTAAAATTACATTACATTTATTAAACATATTAAAATTGTCCTGGAAGAACAACAGCAGTAAAAATGGTTTTTTTAACCAAATCTTAATTTTCTATTTGTAGTACCAAATCTCATACAATACTACCAAGCCAGGTTCTAAGTTAAATCACAGACTGGAGTTTTTAATCTTATGTCAAGGTTACGTCTACTGAGAGAGCAGGACTTCCAGACAACTTGCATAAATATCTTTAATTTATACAAATAGAAATGAAAAAACTATAATACATTATTCAGTCAAAAGCAGCAGATTAAAAATATGGAATAAACACAGAAAAAGAATGACCCCAGATTCATTGCCCCTGCCTCAATGTTAATATTTACTTAATGAAGGCAAAAATACAAAAACGTAATCAGTGGAGAGATAATAATTCGTACAGGATTATGAATACCTAATTCTTAATAAGACAAAGATGACATCCTTTAAGATTCTCTCTTCACAATGGTCAGAATCATCTTCAAATAAGCAGTATAGTTCAAAAGGAATTGCAAAAACAGGGCAGAATACTTAGTCTGAATATGACTTGTAACACAGAACTCTGAAAACTTTCCAGAGCTTGTTTACAAGCAGATACTGAAATATTATACAGAAATTAAACAAGTTAAAGAGTGCATGATTAAATAGATGCAGAACTTAAACAATATAACTGATATGGAATAATGGGAATATCATGAATTTAACCAAACCCTAATACTTAAAGAAAATTGGGTACAAGATGTTTTACTATTAGTAAATTATGTCAGTGCTGATTCTAAAAATAGATAACTCATTTTCTAAAAATTAATAATCTGATTGGATCAACCATTCCTATTCGGCAACAATATTGTAAATAAAAACTAATTTAAAATCCTGGGTGAATTACATTATTTGGAAAACATATCCAATGCGAAAGGCTTAAACGATATGATTTATTTCCTCTTCTTTTACTATCTGGGATCATCTATTGCGTTCTAATATGATAAAGAACCTATCATATTAGAATGCAAATAGATGACCCCAAATTTGTTGTGATTAGTTGCTTGTCATTGTTTAGGAACAGGGGAATGTACAATGTTGTGAAATCAACAAATAGGTAAGAGAGAAAATTAATTCCTGCTTTCAATTGCAATTAATATGATTTTGATTTCACTCCAACCTTCGCTACAGATACTTGGGCAATGGTTGGGAAATAAGTTGTGAATACAGAAGCAGTTCTTGCTCAAAGACTTTCACAAGGAAGCCAAAATAAGCCATTGTAATCTCTCTTTGTCCCCAATCTCTCTCTATCCATTTGTACCAGTCTGTGCACGGACACTGAAGCAGTTCAAATAAATACTGGCAGAGATTTTGTTAGGAAGATGTCAATTACAGCTGATAATTGTCAGTGTTGATCTTTAGGAAAAAGGCAAATCATTCAGTCTTTCAACACGGCCAGTTCAGGATGACATGAAAAGAAAGATGTCCACAAATATATATTTTGCTGGAGAACAGAACAGAAATCCTATATTCTCTCTCTCAACTTAAAAAAAAAACCTCTTTTGTGAAATTCACAACAAACATTCTAATTTTCTTTAAAACATTAACTACCTCATGATTATAGTAGGTCTCTGATTCCCCATCCCACATACAGCTCCTTACCTTCCCAACGTACAAAGGATCCGTTCCCGTGTATTCTTCCAGAACAAAGAACTGGTTCCACACCCAACTCCTCTTCATTCGTTGATGAAGAAGCAAGTTGTCTGAGAGACTTTGTCCTTGGCCTTTGCTTGGAGATCTGCTAGTTCCAGATAATACAGTTGTAATGAGGTTCATCATAAAGCAAAAACTGAGTCCAAGCCACTTCTTTGCATTGTCCATTCTGCTTGATGTTCGCATTGTCATATGAGGATTGTCCTCTAAAGAATCCAATAGATAGGTCTGTGAAATTTCCAAATAAAGTCTTTCAGTGATACTGGGCAAGCACTAAAGGAGAATAATATCCTGTAAAGTTAAAGAAGATCTACTAGCAGCTTTTTGCAAAAAAAAATAAAAAAAATCCCTCTTAAAAAAGAAAAAAGAAAGCTGAGCCATAGACTATTTGATCTCCCTCATAAAAATGTAGGCCTGTTGCATATAAAGGAAGCTTCTCATTTGAAATGAAGGTAATAATTGACTAGCTAGAGAGAAAGACCTTGCTAGGAGAACTGCTGGATTTCACTGTATTATTAATTGATATTTTCTTTGGAAATATTTATGATCAAATTTCTTTGATAGTACTTACAAGGAGAGAAATTCTGTTCATATAAACTATAATTCATAACTAATATCTATGGAATGGCTTCTTTTTCTCTCCCTCTCTTCATTTGACTTCGGCAACATTTTCTTTGTCACCTAGAACATTTTTTTTATTAGATATATTATAACACTTTGATTTAAATTTAGCAGCTGCTCTCTATTTTTCACTTTCATTATTTTTTTAGTAGGCAACCTTCAACTGCTTTAAGCCAGCTTCACATTTTCCTTGCTTTTTGAAAAACTAGTGACTAATGCAACATTTCTGGAGTTTTGAATGGTTGTTTAATCATTATATTATCCCAAAAAGGTACCCCAATACTAATAAAAGTATCTCCCAATACTTCCAATGCATATAATTGTGAGCATAGACATTAGTGAGTCAGCTTATATTTTCTTCCTCCTTGAATCTGAAAGACTAATTTGGACCAAGGAATACTGATCTCTATAAGATATGTTTTTTATGTTAACTTGGATGGTAACTTCATTCAGGTCCTGCTTTGTAATAGTCTTTTCTTTCATTGTTTTGATGGCCTTAATAGGGTGGCCTTGAAACCTTCACTTGGTCAGTGTAATTCAAGAACATTCTTATTTTCAAATGTTCTTTTGGGGCCAAAGTGTTAAACTTTGTATTCTTTTGGGCTAAACACATTCTTAAGAAAGATTATTTTTTAAAGTCCACTGGGATTTAATTCTACTCTTGGCTATGAAATTAGGTTACTTATTTGACTATCAATTGAATTATTTTAACTACATGGGTGAAAAGAGAATAGGCCAATCCAGTCCTGCTTTTAAGTAACTTACCAACCCTCCCAAAACAAATATTATTGTGAAATTGTTATACTGCACTGGAAAAGATGCATATATGTAAGTAGAACTGGTAGTCTATTCACATTTACAGGCATGAGAAGTCAGTCGATGAATGGGTACAGCAAGTCATAATATTGCCTTTTTTAAAAGAAACGACAAGTCCAATTAGTAGGAGAAAAATCAATTGTAATCATAGTTGATTAAGTATTGCTGGGTATATTTTGTAAACAGAAGAACTGTAAGAACAGTAAATGCATTCAACAACTGTTCTGAACATTTATTAATATTTCTGGATGCAAACTGGAATCTTTCACCATTCTTTTAACTTAAGGCTACTGCAGCTATGATGAAAACAGCTCCTATGGTCTAACATTTCATCATCTAAATATGTGATTTAGGTTGTGCTCTGCTGCCGTGTACTAGTTGCTGCCATGAGGCAGAATTAATAGTCCAAGTTTTTATTATTATTGAAAATTTTTAAATTTTTACAAAAACAAATCCCCTTCCCATACCCCCCCCAACCCTACCTCACCCCCCTCCTCCCCAACCTCCCAAACCCTCCCCTAGACTTCCCAGAGCTGAATACAGGCTTAATTGAGAAAAAAACTTAAAACACTTTTAAAACCTAAACAAATTTAAATACAATCATCATTCTATATAAACTCCCTCCAAAAACGCAAATTTAAACATTACTTTCTTTGAATATCTATAGCTATAATGTAAAATCTAATTTCTCCCTCTTTCTTTATCCTAATACAAAAAGATAAACATATAAACCTTTGTTGTACCATTAAAACTAAATACTCTTAGAAAACTTAAAGTAAATACATATTTCCTTCAATCTTCATCATCTTCTCACCTATCCAAAAAAAAAAAAAAACTTAAAAATCCTAAACAAATCTAGACACATTTAGTTAAACAAATTATTTTCTCTTAAAAATATTAATAATAATATTTAAAAGCTTGAAACACTTTTAAATCCTAAACAAATCTAAATACAATCATCATTCTATATAAACTTTCTCCAAAAACACAGATTTAAGCATTACTTTCTTTCCTAAACAAATCTAGACATTTAATTAAGCAAATTATTTTCTCTTAGAAATATTAATAATAATATTTAAAAACCAAATTTAAGCATTACTTGAAACTTAAACAAATTATACTCCCTTCGAAACACAAATTTATTAGAATCCCCTCACTGAAATAAACAAATTATAATCCCTTCAAAACACAGGTTTAAACAATATTATCATTAAAGGTTTAAAACTTAAAACTGAAATATATTATTATCCCAAAACACATATTTAGACATTACATAAGACATTTTCCAAAAACGATATAAGTTTTACTTCTCCCACAATCTCAATAGTAAACTTCTTGTCTAAAGTTCTCATTCAATGTCCATAATTTTCTGTCCAATAACCAGTTGCACCCACTATAAACACAAACTTCTTATCTAAAATTTTCATTCAATATCCATAATCTTCTGTCTAATAGCCAGTTGCATCTACTATAAGCACAATCCATATTGGTCTCTCTTGCCCGCAAGCATCGAAAAAAATGCGTGGAATTCTGCCCTTGAAGATCGCTCCAAAGAGTTTGTAAGTCCTGGTTGACCCACCAGCTCAGGAATCAGTACCTGTGAAACTTCCTCAACCTCCTTCTTCTGTTGGTCTTTCTCTTTACATTTATATGTTACTTTTTCTTTACATTTATATGTTGCACAAGTCTCAGGGACCGATACCTGTAAAACTTCCTCAGTAAATTCCTCCTTGTGTTGATCTTCACAGTTGTAAGTTGTACAAGTTATCCTCTGCCCGTTCCTCTCTTGTTGGTGCCCCTCAAGCTGAAATTTCCCAATTTCGATTTCAGGCAGCAATTCCACCCTTGAAGATTGCTCCAAAGACTTTGTAGGTCTAACTTCTCCCAGAGCTACCCTTGAAGATTGCTCCAAAGACTTTGTAAGTCCAACATCTCCCAGAGATTCAGAGACCGCTGAATATGAAACTTCCTTAACCTTCTTCTGTTGCTGCTTTTCTTTGGAGTTATGTGCTACACAAGTTGTCTTCTGCTCCTCAATCTGGACTTGTTGAGACCTAATAGATGGCGATGCACATACCCCCAGGACCGAAGTATAAAAATCTTTTGCTTGAGAAACAGTATTAAGTCTATGACATGTCCCCAGGTAGTTCACCACCATTCCAGTCGGAATATCCCATCTGAATAGAATTTTTCTCTTTTTAAGTTCATTTACTAGAAAAGCAAACTCCTTTCTTCTTCTTAAAATTTTAGATGGGATCTCCTTAAAAATTATGACATCTTGTGAAGCAATTTGAAATCTCTTCTTATAATAGGCTTGCACAATTTGATTGCGTAAGGATCTTTTACCAAAGTAAATTACCACATCTCTTGGCAGATTCTTCTGTGCTGCCACCACAGAGTTAACCCTAAATAATTTTTCAATTTCACTAAGTATTCCCTCTTTTTCTTTATTCAAAATCAATGCAAAGTCCTTTGCAACCATTTCTTTCAAATCTTCTTGCAAAGACTCTTCCAGGCCTCTGATTCTTAAGGCATATTCCATTTGTCCATATTGAAGCATAAGAATCTCATTTTCCATTTCTTTTTCCATACTTTCAATTTTCCCCTCCATTATGTCCACTTTTTCAGCTACCTCTTCCACATGGGAGTTCACCTTTTCAAGAACAGAAGCAACTCCTTCTAAAGCCAAAACAAAATCTTGTCTCAAGATCTTATTATTTTCCTCTAAAATCTTTTTCATTTCTGCCCTAATTTGAATTATAACATCTCCCATCATGTTTTGCAAATCCTTCATAGTTATTAGCTGACCCCCAGAAGAGGGTGAAACTGTTGATTTAGAAGCTGTAGAAATCCCTGGACGCTTTGGAGCCATCTTAAAGAAAAACCTTTAGCCCTTCTTAAAAAATTATAAAAATTCCTTCAAAAATCATAACTCCCTCCAAAGAAGGTCATTATAATAAAAAGAAAAAAGGGAAAAGAAAAAAAAAAGGAAGAGAAAAAGAATTAAAAAAAGCTTTACTCCTTCTTAAAAATTGCAAAAAATTAAACAGAAAAAAGTCCTTCAAAAAAGAGTCATTACAATATAAAGAAGGGAGAAGAAAAAATAATAATAATAATAATAATAATAATTAAATAGAAAAAGTCCATTCCAAAAAAAAAATACTTAGAGATACCAAAAACAACCATTCCAATCATAAGAAAATAAAAAGGGAAAGGGAAAGGAAAGAAAAAGAAACACCAAAAAGCCTGCCGGTCAGCATTCTAACTTCAAAAAAAAAAAAACACCGAGAGATTTGCCGATCGCCATTTTACTTTCCCTTTCAACAGAAAAAAAAAAAAAAAAATAAAAAGAGAGAATAAAAATAGAAGCAAGTCTTAAAACTTAAAATCCAAATAAATCAAAGAAAGCAAAAACTAAATCCTCTACTCAGCTCTGTCCGTTTATAAAAAAAAAAACTCACCAGTTCTCTTTAAGCACGGAGGTGTTTGCAGCGGCTCGTTTTGTCCCTGAGGACAAAAACAGCTGGGAAGCGGAGACAAGTCCGAACTCCGTGGGAGCACTCCTTTCACCCCCCCCCAAAAAAACTTGGGGGGTGCAAAAGAGGCTCTACCACTATTCGGACACTCTCTACCCCCCCCCTTTGCCCGGGAGGGGGATTTTGAACCGCTGAACAGCTGGTGTCTGCTGTTCATAGCGGTTCTTACACTTACCCAGGAAAGACGGCTACAAAGTAGCCGCCATCGCGCGCGCAAAATCCACCGGAAGTCCAATAGTCCAAGTTTTGAAGGTG